GATGGAGATGAAAAGGCAATAGCACTTTGGGCAAAAATCGATGCTCAGTTATGTAGCATCTTGTGGCGATCTATTGATTCCAAGTTGATGCCCTTGTTTCGTCCATTCCAGACATGTTATTTGGTTTGGGCAAAGGCACGCACCTTATACACTAATGACATATCTCGCTTCTATGATGTGATATCACGGATGACAAACTTAAAGAAGCAGGAATTGGATATGTCTACTTACTTGGGTCAAGTACAGGCAGTCATGGAGGAATTTGAGAAGTTGATGCCAGTTTCTGCTAGTGTGGAAAAACAACAAGAGCAGCGACAGAAGATGTTTCTCGTTCTTACCCTCGCTGGACTTCCTAATGATCTTGATTCAGTACGCGACCAGATTTTGGCTAGTCCGTCTGTCCCGACAGTTGATGAATTATTCTCTCGATTACTCCGCCTTGCTGCAGCACCAAGTCCACCAGTGAGCTCATCACAGATACTTGATTCCTCTGTTCTTGCATCCCAGACAATGGATGTTCGGGCATCTCAAACTATGGAGCATAGACGAGGAGGAGGTCGTTTTGGAAGATCTAGACCCAAGTGTTCTTATTGTCACAAACTTGGACACACTCGTGAAATGTGTTATTCCTTACATGGTCGTCCACCCAAAAATGCTTACATTGCTCAGACCGAGACTCCAGGTAACCAAGGATTTTCTTTATCTAAAGAAGAATATAATGAGCTCCTTCAGTATCGAGCAAGTAAGCAGACATCTCCACAAGTAGCCTCAGTTGCTCAGACTGATACTTCTGTTTCTGGTAATTCTTTTGCTTGTGTTTCCCAGTCTAGCACTCTTGGCCCATGGGTCATGGACTCAGGCGCTTCTGATCACATCTCTGGTAATATATCACTTTTGTCAAATATTGTATATTCACAGTCTCTTCCCACTGTTACTTTAGCCAATGGATGTCAAACTAAGGCAAAAGGAGTTGGACAAGCTAATCCCTTGTCTTCTATCACCCTAGATTCCGTTCTTTATGTCCCTGGCTGTCCTTTTAGTCTTGCATCTGTTAGTCGTTTGACTCGTGCCCTCCATTGTGGTATATATTTTATTGACGATTCTTTTATTATGCAGGACCGCAGTACGGGACAGACAATTGGTACAGGACGTGAATCAGAAGGCCTTTACTACCTTAACTCACTCAGTCCTTCCACAACATGTCTAGTTACAGATCCTCCAGATCTAATCCACAGACGTTTAGGACATCCGAGTTTATCCAAACTTCAGAAGATGGTGCCTAGTTTATCTAGTTTGTCTACATTAGATTGTGAGTCGTGTCAACTTGGGAAACATACCCGAGCCTCCTTTTCGCGTAGTGTTGAGAGTCATGCAGAGTCTGTCTTCTCCTTAGTTCATTCTGATATATGGGGTCCTAGTAGAGTCAGTTCATCCTTGGGATTTCGTTACTTTGTCAGTTTCATTGATGATTATTCAAGATGTACTTGGCTTTTCTTAATGAAAGATCGTTCTGAGTTATTTTCTATATTCCAGAGTTTCTGTGCTGAAATCAAAAACCAATTTGGTGTTTCTATTCGCATTTTTCGCAGTGATAATGCCTTAGAATATTTATCTTCTCAATTTCAGCAATTTATGACTTCTCAGGGAATTATTCATCAGACATCTTGTCCTTATACCCCTCAGCAAAATGGGGTTGCTGAGAGAAAGAATAGGCACCTTATTGAGACTGCTCGCACACTTCTAATTGAATCTCGTGTTCCGTTGCGTTTTTGGGGCGATGCAGTTCTCACAGCTTGTTATTTGATTAATCGGATGCCTTCATCTCCCATCAAGAATCAGATTCCGCATTCAGTATTGTTTCCCCAGTCACCCTTATACTCTCTTCCACCTCGTGTTTTTGGGAGCACGTGTTTTGTTCATAACTTAGCCCCTGGGAAAGATAAGTTAGCTCCTCGTGCTCTCAAGTGTGTCTTCCTTGGTTATTCTCGTGTTCAGAAGGGATATCGTTGTTATTCTCCAGATCTTCGTAGGTACCTTATGTCAGCTGACGTCACATTTTTTGAGTCTAAACCTTTCTTTACCTCTGCTGACCACCATGATATATCTGAGGTCTTACCTATACCGACCTTTGAGGAGTTTACTATAGCTCCTCCTCCACCTTCGACCACAGAGGTTTCATCCATACCAACCGTTGAGGAGTCTAGTGTTGTTCCCCCTAGTTCCCCAGCCACAGGAACACCACTCTTGACTTATCATCGTCGTTTGCGTCTTCCATCAGGCCCAACTGGTTCTCGTCCTGCACCTGACCCTGCTCCTGCTGCGGACCCTGCTCCTAGTACACCGATTGCACTTCGGAAAGGTATACGGACCACACTTAACCCTAATCCTCATTATGTCGGTTTGAGCTATCATCGTCTGTCATCTCCCCATTATGCTTTTATATCTTCTTTGTCCTCGGTTTCCATCCCTAAGTCTACAGGTGAAGCGTTGTCTCATCCAGGATGGCGACAGGCTATGAGTGACGAGATGTCTGCTTTACATACAAGTGGTACTTGGGAGCTTGTTCCTCTTCCCTCAGGTAAATCTACTGTTGGTTGTCGTTGGGTTTATGCAGTCAAAGTTGGTCCCGATGGACAGATTGATCGACTTAAGGCCCGTCTTGTTGCCAAAGGATATACTCAGATATTTGGGCTCGATTACAGTGATACCTTCTCTCCCGTGGCTAAAGTGGCTTTAGTCCGCCTTTTTCTATCCATGGCTGCGGTTCGTCATTGGCCCCTCTATCAGCTGGACATTAAAAATGCCTTTCTTCACGGTGATCTTGAGGATGAGGTTTATATGGAGCAACCACCTGGTTTTGTTGCTCAGGGGGAGTCTCGTGGCCTTGTATGTCGCTTGCGTCGGTCACTTTATGGTCTAAAGCAGTCTCCTCGAGCCTGGTTTGGTAAGTTCAGCACGGTTATCCAGGAGTTTGGCATGATTCGTAGTGAAGCTGATCACTCTGTGTTTTATCGGCACTCTGCTTCAAGTCTCTGTATTTATCTGGTAGTCTATGTTGATGATATTGTTATTACTGGCAATGATCAGGATGGTATTACCAATCTGAAGCAGCATCTCTTCCAGCACTTCCAAACTAAGGATCTAGGCAGATTGAAGTACTTTCTAGGTATTGAGGTTGCCCAGTCTAGCTCAGGTATTGTTATTTCTCAAAGAAAATATGCTTTAGACATTCTTGAGGAAACGGGGATGATAGGTTGCAGACCTGTTGACACTCCGATGGATCCGAATTCTAAACTTATGCCAGGACAGGGGGAGCCGCTTAGCGATCCTGCAAGCTATAGGCTGCTGGTTGAAAAATTAAATTATCTCACAGTGACTAGACCCGACATTTCCTATCCTGTGAGTGTGGTAAGTCAGTTTATGAATTCTCCCTGTGATAGTCATTGAGATGCAGTTGCCCGCATTATTCGATATATAAAATCGGCTCCAGGCAAAGGGTTACTTTTTGAGGATCGAGGTCATGAGCAGATCATTGGATACTCAGATGCTGATTGGGCAGGATCACCTTCTGATAGACGTTCTACGTCTGGATATTGTGTTTTAGTAGGAGGAAATTTGGTGTCCTGGAAGAGCAAGAAACAGAATGTAGTTGCTCGGTCTAGTGCAGAAGCAGAATATCGAGCAATGGCTATGGCAACATGTGAGCTAGTCTGGACCAAACAATTGCTCAAGGAGTTAAAATTTGGTGAAATCAGTCGGATGGAACTTGTGTGCGATAATCAAGCTGCCCTTCATATTGCATCAAATCCGGTGTTCCATGAGAGAACTAAACACATTGAGATTGATTGTCACTTCGTCAGAGAAATGATATTTTCAGGAGAGATTGCTACAAAGTTTGTGAGATCAAATGATCAACTTGCAGATATCTTCACCAAGTCTCTCACTGGTCCTCGTATTAGTTATATATGTAACAAGCTCGGTACATATGATTTGTATGCACCGGCTTGAGGGGGAGTGTTAATTTACAGCATGTATATAGTGTAGTATTGTCCCACATTGGTAGATGAGTAGTATGTCCTTGTATAGTATAGCTATAAATAAGGACCTCTTGTGTAGTATTATTCATTCATTCAATATATCAATAACATATTTTCTCCCGTGCCTTCTCACANGAGTAGTATGTCCTTGTATAGTATAGCTATAAATAAGGACCTCTTGTGTAGTATTATTCATTCATTCAATATATCAATAACATATTTTCTCCCGCGCCTTCGCACAATACAAATGCCTTGAAATTAACAGTATAGATTGACAAGGAAGGAGTCTTTCTTCAGTTAGGTTTTCTTACCTTAATTTGTTCAACGCAACAAGTTCTATGAAGGAATAGCTCCTCTAGATACACAAAGAGATTAGGCCGCTTACTCTTATTTGTGTATACAATGTCACTACTATTATGTTCCCTTTTGTCCTACTATGAATATTCTGTCATTCAAAATCAGTATCGGCTAAATTCTTAAATATCACAAGTTGACATTAATAAAATAGACAGTATTCAGACCTCCAGGGCTATGGTCTAGTGGTAAGAGCGCAGTGCGTGATGTGTTGGCTAGCCGAGGGACTGGATGTAATTGATTCAAAAGTTGAACCAGTCTCATTTGGGATAGAGGCATAGTGTTTATTTTTTTTTATTTTTCATTTTTTCTTTTGGTGACATTTAGTTGCTGAAACATTGATGCAGTAGATTTACATCCAAAGAGCCTTTTTCCAACTGTGCATCCATGTTCCTACCATAAATCATAGTATGATAAAGAAATTTTCTTAGTGGTGCCTCCTACCCTCTCACTATCCGATTAAGTCAGATGTTTGATGGACATGTTGTTGCTGTAGTTTACTTGTCCACGGCAAAACTTTAGCATTTTACATTTATGCTGCTCTCATTTTAATATTGATCATATTAAATTATTAATTACATACCTACTCTAATATTTGCTTAATTAAAGGTTGGGATGCTTGATCCACCAAGGGATGAAGTAAGAAATGCCATCCTTTCATGTATGAATGCGGGCATACGTGTAATCGTTGTTACTGGGGATAACAAGGTAAAATGAAGAGTCTGGTGAATACTGAATATTTTGAGCTGCAATAATCTGCTTTGCACCCAATTTAATTTCTGCATAATTTTAGACAACTGCAGAATCCTTGTGCCAAAAAATCGGTGCCTTTGATCACTTGGGAGATTTTACTGGGTTTTCTTATACTGCTTCTGAGTTTGAAGAACTTCCGGCATTGCAGAAGTCAGTGGCATTACAGCGAATGACAATTTTATCCAGGTAATAACTTTGCTTCTTGTTGTTACTGGATCCCTTTTTAATTTTTAATTTATATATACATAAAGTTATTGACTCTTGGTTCTAACTTGTCTTTTTCTGTCATTTATAGTGGTTGATTTCCTTCCATTGACAGATATCTTTTATGTTGTCAGGGTAGAACCATCCCACAAGAGGATGCTTGTTGAAGCATTACAGAATCAAAATGAAGTGGTAACTCTCCCCTCTTTTGATTGTCGCTTTGATCTTTCCTCAAATGAAAATGTGCTTGCACAGGTCCTCTGTTTTATACTAGAAAGGAACCACATAAAATATGGTTCGTAACTTTGTCATGAGTACATTTGTTTTTTGTAAAGTATGCATCGTGATAAACTGTTTTGAACTGGTAGTATGATGGCACGTGTAGTAAGGCTGGTGAAGTTGCATTTGTACGGCCAATCATTTGTTTGCAAATCATTATCTCTTTGTCTATATGCTGGGGCAACTTCTAGTTCTGCTTGTTAACTTGCTTATTAATCTGCATGGGTTTGGGTACTTTGGCATCTTGAGTGCTTTTACTTGCTTATTAACCTGCATGGAGTGGGTACTTTGGCATCTTGAGTGCTTCTTTGGGTTAGTCTCTGATATGATGTGTCTTCGCATGTCCTATAGGTTTAGCTTACCTTCTCGAGTACTTTTTAATGTAAGATTACTTGACAACTCTTCCCATTGAAATGGTTAGTAGCAATGACAAGCGTATACCTCTGTTTTGAGCTGTTTTAAACACAGTACGAGGTACAAGATTCCTTCTGTTATTACCTCTTTCCAAACTTTTTATATGAATATTCTCTCGTCCTTGTGTAAATTTGCTGTCTTCTAGCCTCTTCTCAAGTATTTTCACCGCCTGAGTTTGCTTAACAATTGTTATCATTGAAATGGACCATAACCACGTTGATTGGTTTCCTCGATCATTACTTCTTTCTAATACTTTGCATGTGAAACTTTTTTTATCCTTGTTCAAATGAACAGGTCTCTTAGCTTTGTCATGAGTGTTTTGATTATCAAAGCTTGCTAATATTCTTCATATTGGAATGCATCATAAATTTGCAGAAAGAGACCTGGATTTTTCGTTCTTTTAGTTCCATGCTTATGAAATATCTCTCCGCCAAATTATTCCTGTGTTGACAAACTTAGTTCTTTCTCTTTTCTTTTCATATTGATATATTTTTCTAATATTTTAATTCTAAGGTTGCTATGACTGGAGATGGAGTCAATGATGCACCTGCATTGAAGAAAGCAAACATTGGAATTGCCATGGGATCTGGAACTGCAGTTGCGAAGGTACTTGCTTTTTTTTGCATAGCTTATTTCTGGTGATGAATTAAAAAGCTTGCTAGAAGTCTAGTGAAATGTTAAAACTCCCACTTGCCAATTTGAATTTCAGAACCTAGATGCACTCTAACCTTCCCCTTGTAGATAGTCGAGGATTTAACGTAGTTGTGTGTTAGCGTATATCTAGCTTGGTAATATGCTTTATTCTTTCTGGTTGCCCATGATTAGGAATTCCAGTGATTAAGAAAGTTTTCCTAGCTTAAACTTTTCTGATTTTATGTAATCTAAACTCCTATATCATGAATACTCTTTAATGTTTTGTCTAAAATCAATTCAACACGAGTTTTTCTCTTTGACTATATGATATCAGCCTCTACAATCTTAAGTAAATATAATTAGCTTCCACTTACTGGAAGAAGGCATAATTGCAAAGTTTTTTGTTTTTCCATAATATTGTTGTCTTTTGGTGATGTTTGGTGGCACTATCTCCTTTGACCATTATTCTGGCCATTTTTCAGGTGAATTTACTAGTAAAACATTTTTGAAAACTTCTTTTCTGTCTTCAGTGGATGAGTATTTTGGTATTGAGTCCTCCTCTGAACATAATTTTACGGTCATAGTTCTGAAAAAATATCTTTTCTTCTTTTTCTTCATGATTCAGAATTTGCATATGTGAGAATGCACGGGAGAAAAATATTATTATTGATGTTAATTGTAATACAACGAACCCTATTTATAAGTACACATAATATATAACCTACTCCTATTACATACGGAACTCGGACTAATTACATATATATTCACAAAGCTATTCTAACACTCCCCCTCAAGCCGGTGCATACAAATCATATGTACCGAGCTTGTTACATATATAACTAATACGAGGACCAGTGAGGGACTTGGTGAAAATATCAGCAAACTTATCATTCGACTTCACAAACTTTGTAGTAATATCTCCTGAGTATCTTTTCTCTGACGAAGTGACAATCAATCTCAATATGTTTAGTTCTCTCATGGAACACTAGATTCGATGCAATATGAAGGGCAACTTGATTATCACACACAAGTTCCATTTGGCTGATCTCACCAAATTTCAAATCCTCGAGCAATTGTTTGATCCAAACTAGCTCACATGTTGCTATAGCCATTGCTCGATATTCTGCTGCGCTAGACCGAGCAATAACATTCTGTTTCTTGCTCTTCCAAGACACCAAGTTACCTCTTACTAAAACACAATATCCCGACGTAGAACGTCTATCAGAAGGTGATCCTGCCCAATCAGCATCTGAGTATCCAACGATCTGCTCATGGCCTCGATCCTCAAACAATAGTCCTTTGTCTGGAGCTGATTTTATATACCGAAGAATGCGGACAACTGCATCCCAATGACTATCACAGTGAGAATCCATAAACTGACTTACAACACTCACAGGAAAGGAAATGTCAGGTCTAGTCACTATGAGGTAATTTAATTTACCAACCAACCGCCTATATCTTGTAGGATCGCTAAGCGGCTCCCCCTGCGCTGCCAGAAATTTAGAATTCTGATCCATAGGAATGTCGACAGGTCTACAGCCTATCATTCTTGTCTCCTCAAGAATGTGTAAGGCATACTTCCGTTGTGAGATCACAATACCTGAGCTAGACTGAGCGACCTCAATACCCAGAAAATACTTTAATCTGCCCAGATCCTTAGTCTGAAAGTGCTGAAAGAGATGTTGCTTCAACTTAGTAATACCATCCTAATCATTGCCGGTGATTACAATATCTTCAACATAAACCACCAGATAAATATAGAGATTTGAAGCAAAATACCGATAAAACACAGAGTGATCAGCTTCACTACGAGTCATGCCAAACTCCTGAATAACTGTGTTGAACTTACCAAACCAGGAAAGTGATTTTGTTACAGACAACCTCTTAAGTCGCCGGAAAATTGCACGGCGACGAGGTCTTTCTTCCCGGAAGTCGCTGGAATGATGCACAACGATAAGTTTCTCACTAATGCTCTGATACCATGTGAGAATGCACGGGAGAAAAATATTATTATTGATGTTAATGGTAATACAACGAACCCTATTTATAAGTACACATAATATATAACCTACTCCTATTACATACGGGACTCAGACTAATTACATATATATTCACAAAGCTATTCTAACAGGATATTCAGTCCCTCATTTGAACATTAAATTTGGATATTTGTTCCAGGAAAGTCGTGTTGCCTTCTTTTTCTTCATGATTTTAGAACATGAATTGAGTCTCTATTGTGCACATTAAATTTCCAATCACTGTTTCGAGAAATAAATGAAGAATGGAGCATTGATTATCGAACTTATTCACTTGTCTGCAAAAAAAGGATAATTATTATGTATCAAACCATAGGTTTCAGTCTTCCATTCCCAAAAGGGAAAGTTTGAAATTCTTTTTTCTTTCTGAGGGACTAGGAGATTGGATCTTGTTGTAAGAAGAATGCTTAGTTCATTTTTCTCCTTATAAGGAGGTTCCAGTTATCAAGAAAATGCCTCCAGTTGTTTTTTTTGTTTTAATTGCAAAACATTGAATATCTATTCATGCCATTTGAATCAAGGAACCCTACATGCTACTGGAGTAAGGGATTGTCAACTAGGATGTTCTTGCGCGTCCTAGATTCTTATTCAAGACTTGTATCATTTCTTGATACCATGGTATTAAAGTTTGGGTTTTGCATTCTATATTATTACAACAACAACAACCCAGTAAAATCCCACAAGTGTGGTCTGGGAGGCTACAGTGTACGCAGACCTTACCCTAACCCCGGCGGGATAGAGAGGTTGTTTCCGAAAGACCCTCGGCTCAAGAAGAAGAAAATAAACAATAGACAATAGTGTTGATTAGCATGAATCAAGGAAACTTGATTTAGGAGTAACATGATTTCAGGAGATTTGCTTTTATTTAGGAGATCTGATTTTATTCTGATTTGATTTGATAGTTGGATTGATTGTATAGATTTATTTTATTTCCTTAATTAGCATTAGGAGCTTTGTATAAATTCGCTTGTTCATGGGTTGTAAATACGTAGAAATACAAGAAGCATTTTCTTCTTGTCAAAATCTACATGGTATCAGAGCCATTGCTGCCTTTTTGAAGTGAGTTATCTCACTCGCAGCACTAGGATTCCGTTTTTATCAAAGAGGTTGAGTTTTCTTTCTCTTGTTGGCTGTCCGCAACACAAACGCCTTCTGATTTCCTTCTGATTGAGCTGAAATATGGAGACATTCAAGGAGACGGTTTCTGGAGAAATCTCGTCTTCTGATGAAATTCAGCTTCTCCGTCGCCTCCTAGCCAAACTTGACTCTGCTAATGTTGTCACATCCAATCATGTTCAATCAGGTACTGCCTTTGCTGCTCACCTTAATTCTTGGATTGTCGATTCTGGTGCAAATAGACACATGACATGCTTTTCTAAAGGCATTCAAAACTATTCTCCGTGTCCCAAAGGAGATAATGTTAAAATAGCCAATGGTTCTTTAACACCTATCTCTGGAACAAGTTCTGTCATTTGTACCCCTAATATTAAACTATCATCCGTGCTCCATGTCCCTGAGTTCCCTGTCAATCTTTTATCTATTAGTGCCATCACCAAAGCTCTAAACTGTAAAATCGAGTTCTTTCCCGATCATTGTATTTTTCAGGATCTTCAAACAAGGAAAACGATTGGCAGTGGTACATTGCGTGATGACTTGTATATATTAGATGGGATTCAAAACTCTGGTCAAGCCTTTTTTGGGGAAAGTAAGGATGTCAACCAATAAATAATACAACGGCATAGACGGTTAGGACACCCATCATTCTTTGTTTTGAAGAAGTTATATCCCGATTTGTTTTCAAGGACTAGATTTGAATATTTGTACTGTGATGCGTGTGAATATGCCAAGCATACTAGAAACTCTTATCCTGTGAGTGATAATAGAAGCACAACTCCGATTATGACTATTCATTCTGATGTATGGGGTCCTACCTAAATTGTTTCTTTGTCTGGTAGTCGATGGCTTATTACTTTCATTGATTACTGCATTAGGATGACTTGGGTATATTTGTTAAAAGCCAAAAGTGAAGTTTTCTCTTGTTTTTAGTCATTTCATAAGCTGATTTGTACTCAGTTTGATGGCAAAATAAAAATCTTGAGAACTGATAATGGCAGTGAATACATGGATAAAAGATTTGGTGCTTATTTGGAGTCCAGTGGGATAGTCCATCAGACTAGTTGTCCTTACACTAGTGCACAAAATGGGGTCGCTAAAAGATAAAATATGCATATGTTAGAAGTAGCAAGATCTCTTATGTTCACCATGCATCTACCAAAATCTTACTGGGGGATGCTATTATAGCGGCTACCTAACTTATCAACAGAATGCCACTTAAACCCCTCAATTTTCAAAGTTCTCTGGAAACTTTAAAGGGTAAGAATGAATATACTGTTCCTTTAAAGGTGTTTAGGTGTGTTTGCTTTGTCCACAATAGAAATTCTGGGAAACTTGATCCCAGAGCTATAAAGTGTGTTTTCATTGGGTATTCTCCGACACAGAAAGGTTACAAATGTTATCATCCTCCCTCTAGGAGATCTTTTGTTAGCATGGATGTTACCTTTCGAGAATCTGAGCCTTATTTCAGTATTACCTCATCACCTCTGCAGGGGGAGAGCACTAAGGAGGAAGAGGTGATTTTACCTAGTTCCATTACTGGACCTCTTGATGACATTGTCATAGAGGAAAGTGAAATTGGAGAAAGAATTCATGGGGTGACTATTGGGCGTTTGGATAGGCCTGATTTGAAAACTTACTCAAGGAAAAATAGAGTAGAAGAATCTATCATGCAATCTACCTAAGCTGAACTTTCTTCTACCGGTGAGTTATCTACATTTCCTAATGAGTTAGATGAACCTATTGCTCACAGAAAAGGAGTCAGATCTTGCACCACCAAACACCCTTTTATCTAATTTTGTCTCCTATAATTCTTTGTCTCCCTTCTATAGGCCTTTGCCTTGTCTATTTCTTCTGTGTCTATTACCCAGAATTGGAGAGAAGCTTTTGTATATCCTAAATGGAAGCAAGCTATGATTAAAAAAATGAAGGCCTTGTTAAAAAATGATACTTGGGAACTTGTCACTTCACCACCAGACAAGAAGTTGGTTGGCTGCAAATGGGTCTTCACTGTGAAGCACAAAGTTGATGGCTCAATTGAAAGATTCAAAACAAGATTGGTGGCCAAGGGATTCACTTAGACTTATGGAGTGGATTACCAAGAGACATTTGCCCCTGGTTCTAAGATGAACACTGTTAGAATTCTACAAGAAGCATTTTCTTCTTCTCAAAATCTACAAATAGATCAGTGACAACAACAGAAGCCAGAAAAATAGTATCAGCATCGTAAGAAATAGAAAAATATATGTAAAAGCAATAACAATAACCAGCAATAATGGCATAGAAAATAGTGTGGAAACTACATAAACCACTAACAACCCATAGCGCAACATTATCAGCCCCGCCCCGCCCCCGGAACAACATAGAAAAACGCTCGACTCCTTCCTATCCAGAGCCATGTCCTCGGAGATCTGAAGTCGCGTCATGTCCTGCCTGGTCACTCACCCCAATACTTCTTTGGCCGCCCTCTACCTCTCCTCGTACCTGCCAATGTCAAACGCCCACACCTCCTAACCGGGGCATCTATGCTTTTCCTCCGCACGTGCCCGAACCATCTAAGCCTCGCTTCCCACATCTTGTCGTCCATGGGAGCCACGCCCACCTTCTCCCGAATATCTTCATTCCTAATCTTATCCAGTCTAGTGTGCCCGCACATCCATCTCAACATCCTCATTTTTGCTACTTTCATCTTCTGGGTATGCGAATTCTTGGCTACCCAACATTCAGCCCCATACAGCATGGCCGGTCTTACCACCGCTCTATAGAACCTGCCTTTGAGTTTCGGTGACACTTTCTTGTCACACAGGATTCCAGATGCTAACCTCCATTTCATCCACCCTACTCCTATACGGTGCGTGATATCCTCGTCTATCTCCCCATCCCCCTTAATAATCGACTCAAGGTACATGAAACTTCCTCTCTTAGGGATGACTTGTGAGTCAAGCCTCACATCCATGTCCGCTTCCCCCGACGCATCGCTGAACTTACACTCCAGATATTATGTCTTAGTCCTACTCAACTTGAAACCTTTAGCCTTAAGGGTCTGTCTCCATACCTCTAGCCTCTCATTAACGCCGCCTCGCGTCTCATCAATCAAAACTATATCATCAGCGAACAACATATACCATGACACCTCCCTTTGAATATGGTGTGTTAGTGCATCCATCTCCGGGGCAAATAAGAAACGGCTGAGCGCAGACCCTTGGTGCAACCCCAAAATAACCGGGAAGTGCTCCGAGGCACCTCCCACAGTCCTAACCCGAGTCTTAGCTCCCTTATACATGTCCTTTATAACCCTAATATAAGCTACCGACACACCTTTCACCTCCGGGCATCTCCAAAGAACCTTCCTAGGAACCTTGTCATACGCTTTCTCTAGGTCAATAAACACCATGTGCAAATCTTTTTTCCTATCCCTGTACTGTTCTACCAACCTCCTGATAAGGTGGATAGCTTCCGTAGTGGAACGACCCGGCATGAACCCAAATTGGTTGTCGGATATAGACACTGCCCTCCTCACCCTCCCTTCCACTACGCTCTCCCAACCTTTCATAGTGTGACTTAGTAACTTGATGCCCCTATAGTTGTTACAATTCTGAATGTCACCTTTGTTCTTATGGAAATTGTGGAAATTTATTTGGCTATTCTCCAGCTACCATTTCAAACTATGCCGATGATGTCGTGGAAATTGTATTATCATCTCTCTTATTGGTAATTGGGAGGAGATTCCTTTTAGTGTGATATGAGAAACACTTATCTGTGACTTTCTGTGGATGATAATTTCAACACTTATTGTCTTTCTGGTGACACTATTTCGGCGACGCTATTTTGCAAATCACTGTTCCTTTGAGAATAACTTTTTGTTGCAGCGTTCCTGTTTGGATTTACAAATTCCTTCTCTACCTTGAGTTTGAGGGGGTACGGTGAGAATCAAGAGATTTAATGCTGATATATGTCCGAATGTATCTAGAGCCCATTGGGATTTAGCTGAATAAAAGTAGCTTTACTTGGGCTTAAAAGCACTTTTGAAGTGCTGGAGCTGAGTTAAAAAAAAGAAGCAGTTACGTGTTTGGCTAGAAGCGCTGAAGCTTAAAATAAGTAGTTGATGTGTTTGGTGGAAAAGTGCTGATAAGCACCATTTTCTGTTAAAATGGCTAAAATGCCCGTAAAGCTGTTAACACTAAAATAAACTAATTATTGCCAGATTATAGTCCATTTTCAGTTCTAAATTAATTAGATAAGATTATTTTTAACAAATATAAATTATTTATTGGAATAATATACAAATAATTGATAATTTGATAAATGTTTATAAATAAACAACTTACTAATTAAATAGTGAAAAGTATTCATATGATTACAAGCATTAGCATTTCAAATTTCATTAGAAAAGAGCCATTAAAGTCACGCGTGTAGTGGTTTTCCCATCACTATAGAGCCATTCATCATGTTCCGGAATGTGCAGCAATTGATCAAAGTTTATTCCTCGTTTTTCAGTTGCAGCAAAAATCTCATACAAGTCCAAATTCTTAAAGAAAATATCAGTTGTACATAATCTAACTTATAGAAAAACTTAACAGTTCGGTAAATTTAGAATCTGCAAAATATTGGATGAACTTTCTTTACATGATAAATTGTTTTAAGATATTTTAAGTGAGAAAATCCTCTCAACTTGAACTAACAAGGACGGCAGAGATGGAAGGCAGCTGAGGAAGAAGAAGGAAAAGAAACAAATAGCGTTAGGGCCTTTCATTGTGAAGGATATTTAGGGAATTATATAAAGTGTAAGGGATAAGAATGTGAATACTTGGTCAAACCTAAATTACCAGCCTTTCATCATGTTCCGGAATGTGCAGCAATTGATCAAAGTTTATTCCACGTTTTTCAGTTGCAGCAAAAATCTCATACAAGTCCAAATTCTTAAAGAAAGTATCAGTTGTACATAATCTAACTTATAGAAAAACATAACAGTTCGGTAAATTTAGAATCTGCGAAATATTGGATGAACTTTCTTTACGTGATAAATTGTTTTAAGATATTTTAAGTGAGAAAATCCTCTCAACTTGAACTAACAAGGACGGCAGAGATGGACGGCAGCTGAGGAAGAAGAAGGAAAAGAAACAAATAGAGTTAGGGCCTTTCATTGTGAAGGATATTTAGGGAATTATATAAAGTGTAAGGGATAAGAATGTGAATACTTGGTCAAACCTAAATTACCAGCTTTTAAGCCAATCCAAACACCCTCCTAGATTAGTCTTGTGGTATATAATTATGTTCTTTATTATTGTGTCATAAGTAGGAATTCTGGTAATTGGAAATTTTTTCTCATGATAAAGTTTTCTTATTTTATGTAGTCTAAAATTATCGTATTTCTTGTATCGTAAACTCCTTTATAATGGGCACTCTTGTATATTGTCTAGACGAGTTTTATTGTCCCTCGTTCTCGCCCTCATTACTTTTCTGGTTAGCTCAGGTAATATAGTGCCAGAAAGGGTTTCACCGAGTAAGACCGTATATTATTGATGCTACCTGATTCTCTTAGGCCTACGTATCTGTCTGTTATTTTTTTTAATATGAAAGTTGTACAAAAGAATTCACCTAAATATGATTTACTGCTTTAGAGGTGGAGTGGATCCTATCCTCCTTTTCCTTCTGTTTGTACCTCGAGAGTTTCAGGTTTTTATTATTTTGTAATTAGCAGTTGAAGTTGTTACAATTAACAGTAAAGGTTGACAAAATTCCTAGGAGCTCTTTGAAACAAGTAATATAGCGTTAAATGCTTAAATATGTGAAAATGAATATGGCTTCTGCCCATAAGGTTTTCCCGTGGAAAATATTTTCTTTGGAGAAATTCTTTTCACAATAAAAATAACCAAACTGGACAAAACTTGCCACTGCTTAAATAAATCAGTGAATATGCAAAACAGTAATCATATCCTGCAGTACATTGGTGCAACCACCTTTTTGTTACCCTTCTGCAGTTTCGAATGACTTTACCAAGAAATACATTGTTTAATGACATAGTGGGCTTTGTTTTAAGATTTTCTGGTCTGTCATAAATTGTTTATATTGGATTCCCGAAATTGACATGTGAACTTAGTCCCTTTCATCCTGGTCTCAACTTGCAGAGTGCTTCAGATATGGTTTTAGCAGATGATAACTTTGCCACTGTTGTTGCTGTAAGCTGATATTCTATTTTCATCAAATTCTCCTAAATCTCTTACCTTTAAAACTATATTCCTTTGGTTTATTGAATTATGTTTTCTGAACAGGCGGTTGCTGAAGGAAGGGCTATCTACAACAATACAAAACAATTTATTAGATACATGATATCTTCAAATATTGGTGAAGTGGTCTGTATTTTTGTGGCAGCTATGCTTGGGATTCCTGATACTCTTGTCCCTGTGAGTTTGTAGCCTATAACTTCTGTAACATGTTCATACCCGTTCTTAAACATCTCAAATGCATATTTTCCCTGCTAATCTGCATTTTAGCCCTCCTCACTCCCCCCTACCCCCCTTCTCCCCACCCTCGGAGTAGTGTTTGTTATATTTCTAAAGAAGCAATCATGATATGTTACTGTCTCAAAGTGTTGAGAGCTTTTGATGGGGTAGAGAAGGGTTTTGTACAGTTGAGGAGTAGCCTTTTTTTCTCTTATTATGTTTAGGTGCACCCATGAGACTCCCTTAGGCATAGAAGATTGAGTGTCTTTTGTAGAGAACCATATTTTGTTGTGAGGTTCTCTTTTCTTAGTATACTTATTGTATACGGGCATTTATGCCCTTCTTTTAAGGAAATTTTTATTACTTTATCAAAAAAAAAGTCCCTGTTTTGCAAGCATGAGGTTCAAGGAAAGTGATGCAATAGCGGTCCACCTTGAACATTTTTTTGGGGTAAAGGTTTCATTGATTTGCACCAAGAAAGTGCTAAATATGTACACAAAAAGGACTTAGCTTCCCTTAAATATTAAAGGAATCCAGAAAGTCTGCAAAAGAAAATACATCAGTTCTGCTTAAATCACACCAAGAGTATACAAAAGGTGAAAGAATAAGTTTTTCCGCGAGCATCTGTCCTCTCCAGCTTCTTACTGCAGATTTAAAGGTTGGAAGAACTACCCAATGCACTCCAAATACATTCAGGAACATGGCCCAAATGTCCCAAATGTCCCAAACAAAACGGCACTGCAAAAATAAGTGTATAGGGGATTCTACTTTTGCTTCAGCTTCACATAGGTAGCATCTAATACCTACTCTGAGTCCTCTTTTTGTAAGTCATCTTTACTCTGAATCCTCCTGTAGTATCCATTTCTTTCACTATAAACAATCATCCATATCCATTTTTTAATAACATGGCTCCAGCGTTCTTTTGAAGGCTGGGAAGCTAGTTTGATGCTTTATATGTTTCTCTTCTAAGTATGTTAAGTTGGCTCGTTTCTAATTCCCTTATTACTCTCGAGCTTAGTTTTTTCAGATTTATCAGGTTATTTTGTTGATACGCAGGTCCAACTGCTATGGGTAAATCTAGTCACTGATGGATTGCCTGCCACTGCTATTGGGTTTAATAAACAAGACTCAGATGTTATGAAATCCAAACCTCGGAAGGTATTATCTTCTCTTTCCGTCTTAGTTGACTCATGTCGTTGTATTTCAAGATAATATGGTCTTTTGTGTGCAATTGCTACTGCTGTTTTGTTGTTTGTTTCAAGTTGTTTACTGCAAGGCTTAGATGGCGTACTTGCTTTGACTTTAGAAGCTCTGTTTTCTCGTGCTTTTGTCCGGTTGTTTCTGCTACCAGGCTGGTGAATCAGGCTCGTGTTTTTATAACTTTATGGTGATTATGGACTGCTTGATAGTGCTTGTTAAGTTACGAGATCCCATTATTCTGTTATTAGCCCCAAACATGAAGCATAAATTTTAAGGTGACGAATTATATCAGAGACAGAGCCTATGTAGTGTTGAAGAACTTTTTCTGTTCTTCCTGGCTATGTTACTCGGACTCTTCAAAAATGTTGTTGGGTGCGTGTCGGATCCTCCAAATTTAGTGCATTTTTGGAGGATCCGACACGGGTGCGGCAGCACTTTT